CCAACGCTCGACCGACCAAGTTCGGCGGATACAGACCCCATTCTGGCGTGATTCTACAGAATCTTAGCTCCGGAAGCGAGCCAGAAACCACGGATGAAACCGGTTCCATTTGGAGAACCGATCCCCCAATGGTGGTCACCACTTCCATATTTGGTGGACCGTCCAACGAGACTCCAGTCTCGTCCAGAAAGAGTATCTTGAACAGTTTATTCCCGCGGGAGGATTCGAACGAGAACTTCGTCGAGAAGTTACCCAATATTTCTGCGAGAAAAGACGCTGAGAATTCGGACCACTTAACGTCGACGCCTATGTCTTTCTACAGGTGCCTGAAGACGCCCAGAAGCGACTCCCTTCGATACGCGAAAGACAATTCTCCCAAAAATGTTAGCCAAACATTTTTCACTGCTAGAAACGACACTCGTTACGAGAAACAGAATTTCCAGTCTTCTGTATTTGGAACGATTCCTAACACGGATTCGATGGAAGTTGAGCACTATAGTGTCACTAACTTTGAGGAAGAAACCCCGCGAAAGTACCTGAAAATCTACCACGAGGGGGAAGCAACAAACGATGAACGTCTCGTAAATAAACAGGAGACTGCGTCCTCCACGCCTGCGAGTCTTTCTTCCGGTTTGCAATCGCCGGAGACTGTATTTTGGGGATCGAGGTTTAGAAATTCTCCGGAACTCTGCTCGCCAAAAACGGATTCTCCGATCTTTAAATCGACTCCGTCCAAACGATTCATCGATCGTGAAAGTACCAAAGAGATCAGGTCTCCGCCAGGAGGATTTCTTCTCTCGAAAAAGGGTTTGCAATCCTCAGAAACTATCTCTTGGGGTGCCAGATATGGACATTCTCCGGAACTCTGCTCGCCAAAAACGGATTCTCCGATCTTCAGATCGACTCCATCCAAACGATTCACGGATCACGAGAGCACCAAAGAGACTAAGTCTCCTTCAGGAGGTTTTCTCCCCGCGAAAGGAGGTTTGCAATCCTCAGAAACTGTATCCTGTAGCTCGAAATATGGAAATTCTCCGGAACTCTGCTCGTCGAACGCGAATTCTCCAAACTTTAAATCGATTCCATCCAAACGGTTCACCGATCGTGGGAGTACCAAAGAGATCAGGTCTCCATCATCAGAGATAATCTCTTCGCGATTGTCCGCCAAAGACGACCGAGACTTTAGCGATTCTAATCAAAGGGAGTACGCAAACGTTCCAACTCTAGTTTTAAACTCGCCAGTCGCTGTGACTCGTTCGGAGAAGCCTATAAACGCAAACGATTTGATAGCAGCGTTGTCGAACGTGTCTCTAGCGCAACGAACGAACGATGGTTCGCTGTACAGCTTGTCCCGTGGCGACAGCAACACCGTTTCGAAGCCAGAATCTTCCGAAAACAACGCCAGCGACGGAAGTTTGAACCCAAAACCGCAGAAGTCGAACGCCTCCACCAGATCCTTTTTTAGCCTGCGTTCTAAAATACCTGTGAAGGTGAGCGACAGGAACAGAGTTTCTCCGATCGTGAACAAACTCATAGAACAATCAGGTTCTACCGAAGAGACGTTGAGAAATACTCCACAGGGATCCGAGAAACTGTCTTTCTTCGAGAATCACAGGTTCCTAGAGTCCGTTAGCGAGAACACGTCGCACAGTTCTGGAAGAACGCACGTTTTATCGAAAAACGGCTCCGACTCTTTGCAAACGCGTACGAACAGCGACGATCGAAGCGAATCCAAAGAGGAAACGCGGAATTCAAGGAACAGTGGCAACCTGGGTGTCAGCGAACAGTCTTCGATTGAGCAACTGGCGAAAGAAGACGAAAAGGAGGATTGGAACCCCAGCGAGCCAATAGGCAAACCCCTATCCGCGAAAGAAGCCATGAATCCTGATAACTTCGAGCTGGGAACCAACTCTGCTGATTCTACGAAGAGAAAATACCTAAACGTTGCTCACCAGGGTGACGTTTGCGAGAAGACTACAGAGCTGGCCAGGCCCAAGCTTCAGGATCGAATCGGAGACGGTCTCTGTCCAAGCAAATCGCAATTCCAGTCTTCGAGTCTGACCCTGGAAGCCAGGAACACTAAAACGACGGACAGGGTCCGGTTTTCTTTGGAGAAAATGGCGGCTGAGCACTTTCGACGGAACATTTGCTCGGAGCAGACGAAGGTTGTGCAGTCTGAGACCTCCGCTTGCGCCACGGAAAAGTACGAGATTCCGTCGTTCTCTCAGCCATATTCTTCGATGCCCAAGTTACGAAGGGACTCGCCGAGGTTCAGGAAAAGCCAGGACCGATTCCCGTTCACCATATCGGAGAAGACCAGCGCCGCGTCGATGAAGTTCAAGAGCACTGGATTCGAGAGCCTGGACGAGGATTCTCTGGAGAGAACCTACAAGTTGGGCATGCATCCTAGCATAACCAGACTGGCCGGATCTGGATTGTCGGACACGGTCGAGGATATGATCTACGCGGCTTACAGCGAGCGGGAAGATCGAGCTCGATCGTCGGGAATGAGGGGACTGGTCCAAAAATTCTCAGCCAGGTTGAGGAAGCCAAAGAAACGGGACGAAATTGGAAAAGATACGAAAGCTACGAGCGTCATCTACGAGAATCGTGATTATCGCGAGGAATCCGCGGGGAACAGTGACTCGGAGTCCTCTTTGATGAAGAGGTTCAAGGTGTATGAAAATATGTTCGAGAAGAGGCGCGCGATCGATGACGATGCGCCTGACGAAGAATCCTCGACGATTCCTGGTGACAAATCTCCCAATGATGGATCTGGTACCCAGGATCCTCAGCATTCTAGCGAACAACGGGATCTAGGAGATCGTGACGATCTGCTGTGGGATCGAGGACTCGAACAAGTCGATGGTAATTGTTACGACTATACCTTAACGTTTTGACAACAATAGCTTATGAGTAGAAAATAGGGCTTTCTAAAATATTCGTCAATAATTTCACAAGTTTTTTTCTATCATTTATTTAAATATAATGGACACCATTGTTCTATGTAGGAAATGAAATATGGCGACTAAATCAGGAAGGTTCATTTTTGTTTTACATTCATTAAAATATCTCAATTTTTATAGAAATTATAAAATTCTATGCATTTCAGGTATGAAGGTCGCTAAACTTTTATTTAAATAATAGATAACCTATAAAATGTGTACTCGATCGATAAGTTAAAATTCGTTCGTTATGAAATGTTTCATTTTGTTACAATTAATTTCAATGATCAATTGACGTTAATCGCGTAATCGATTAATTTTCTTACAGAAATTTCAAAAAGCCCGGATGAATGTAAAATAAGGGGGGATCCCTATTCGGTGTTCTTCGTAAAAAGCGCGCGGGGAACACCGGAAACATCAGCCAGATCGTTCTTACCAACCGATAAATCGAGCCAAGGTGAACGGAAACGAAATCGCGTGAAATTTCGTGGGAGTCCCTTAGGCGCGTTGTCGAAAGAGATCGACGAGAATGTGGATAAAGCACCGATTAAACGTAGAAATTTTGAAGATTCCAGAACGAATAGAAATGAGGAAAACGGTTGTTTGTGTTTGCGATTTTATCGAATGATTATACCCATCTCGTTTGGATCGATTCCCAAGTATCGATCGCGGGTAAATCGAAGCGGTAGCGTGTCGTCGTTGAAGAAGAGATTTCGTTTATCGCTGAAGAAAAGAAAGGGATGATGGTTTCCCACTTCATTTCATAGACATAACATCGAGAGATACTGTACATAGACATTGAAATCAATCATGCTAACTTTAAGCTTTCGTCCTTACCTTTATCCAAAGGTTTTTATTTGTACATACATTTGTAGAATTACGATGGTACCTATTTTAACGAGTCTTCCAGCCAAACTTCCATCATCGATTACGTTAAAAATACAATTTGTATGATCAAAACTGTTCCCCAGTTTTACCAATAAAATTATGGATACTCGCCAGCAAAATCTATATTCAAAAACCACCAACACGAGTCGTAATAAATAAAGCGTATGTCGTCGTTCATATTTTTTATTTATACGTCGTTCGTACATATCTCATTTATTCTCAATAATAGTGTTGCACGCTTGCTTCCATCTTTTTACTTTTTTTTTTCCTTTTTTTTTCATACGAGTGAGTCTTTTACCGAAGATGCGCATTATCGAGTGTTTATCGCCTTAATACAACGTTTCTTCGCTACGCTTTAACTTATTATCGTTATTATCGTTACCATTATAGAAAAAATAAGTCTTTAAATAATCACATAAGAGTCGCCGAGCCGTTGAGAATCGTGGGAAAAAGGGAAAAAGAGAGAACGTGTTTTGTATACATACATGCATGCATACGTGTATTTTGTAAACACACACATGTAAACGATCCGTGTATATGTAAATTGTGTTTTTCGCGATACGTGTGTGTCGTCGAGTGTTAAGTATCCAAGGAATAAGGTAACATGTTTTTTCCGAAGTAACAAGAGTGGTTGGCTCTATATGGTATTTTCGTTTACCAGCTCCCTTGAAATAACGATGTTCGCGCTAAGCCTAGAAAAAATCTATCTACCGAGAAGACCAGTCGTTTTCGCGTTAAAACTATATACGAGGTACGCGTTACGCGTTATTCCGCTACACGGCCCGGAGGAGCTTTAATCGATTCGATGAAGGGAGGTGGTCAACGACCACCGAGACACCGGCGAAAACGAGCATAAAGAAAATCAACGCTAAAGGCAACGCGTTTCCGCGATCCGCCTCGAGTACTCTTTTTTTTTCTCCCTCCGACCGTTTCTAAAAAAGGAGAGGAAGCTTAGTCCGCGGTATGCCCCTACATGTTCACGGCACAAACAGACGATCCGGTAATGGTATTTTTGTCTACCGTACAAGGTCTACCATTCAAATGATTAAATATCTTATAACCCCCTAGCTGCGTCCATAAAGTTCCAGAAGAAATTAAAATTAACCGAACTGAACACGCAGGCTCCCCCCCCCCACTTAACTTCTTCGTTGGAAATAATTTGTCTACTTTTAATATCTTGTGAACGAGTTGCAGCAGCATTGTAATGCTTCCGTTCTGGGTGAAAGTGTCGAGGTGACACGGAAGTTATCCTATATTGTGTCTTGTATCGATATCCGATAGCTCGGCGTGACCCTTCGATTCGATTAATCGCATTATTGCATCTAAATAAATTAAACTATCGGTGATCTTGCAATTTTGTTATGTAAACTCCGAAATGTTAATTTTAATTAATTTAGTTCAAGTATCTCTATCCTATGTCATACTTTCTGTGTTTAAAAAGTAATTTCCAGTCGATATTAATGATAACGAACGAGAAAAACACAGTCACTCGGCACACCAACCTATAAAGTTGGTTATCGATCAATATGGCCGAAGGACGTACGTAAGTACGTATGTATGTAAAGTTATTTCTCTAATTTTCCGAATCGATCAGACACACGTAGGTATCGAGAGGCTACAACCGGCTTGTCACAAACATAACTTTTTCACACCTTGTCATGTATCTTGCAGAGTAGAAACCCTTTTTGCATTTCATCCACGTTCTTGATAAATAAGAATATCGAGCTTATCTTTATTATTTCTAAGATAATTGTATCTAAATGGGATACTAAATGACCTTGAATCGTAACTAATAAATACAGGTTAATTGCAAAGATTTCTAAATGTATTTTGACAGGGAACCTAGCAGAGTATAAACCTTTTCGAATATTGAGCTTCTTGTTATTGTATTACACTTTGACCACAATTCTGTGACTTATAATGGGATAGTAAATGAACTTCGAACTGTAACCAATAAAGACACGTCCACCCAGATTAAAATAAACGTGTAACTTTCGCGAAAAATCTCTTTTCGCCGTGACATTGCAAAGAAAAGTTAAGTGGGACGCCGTACAAAATAAAACAAAAGCTGTCGTCCAGTTTGCGGACAATTAGTATTCGCTTCGAACGACGGAAAGGGTAAACTCGATTTCCAAAAATGTGCTCGTATATCGTGCTAGTCGCGACGAATTGCTATACGATGTCGAGCAGACAGGAAATCGTAAATTTCTATTATCCGGTTCCGGTAAATGCAAGTATCCGTAGCATGCTGCGCCCTCGAAATTCATTCTATCGTTTGTCGCAACGGAAACATAATTTTTTATATACAATACTACTTAACAATGCTACACAATTATTCGTTTGGAACAGATGGGTCAAGTTTTCTTCCTTCCTCTTTCAGAAACCTCGAGATAGCGTGTTTCCTGGTTCTTCAGTTTTGGCCCGTTCGCTGGTACCGTACAACATCCGTGTTGGGGTCATCATCATTTCTTTGCTCGCTCATCGTCATCGTCGTCGAAGCTCGTGCCATCAGGACGGGACTGGCTGGGGAAATGACGTCACAATGGGGGTGGAATGGAAAACTCTTTTCGCACGTAGAACAGAATATACGGTTTGCACTTGGCGACCGCGTCCGTGGTCGCCGGTCGTACGGAGCTATCGTTAAAGTGAAACCATTGTCCATCGTGAACGGCGAAGGCAGTGTAATGTCCAGTTCCAGCACTAAAACAAACAATTCGGTACGTATAATCGAAAGAATACCATCGTTGCTCGATATAACGGACAGATATGTAACAACTACAGTACCTACGAGAGCGTTGAATACTTTCTGGAATATTGATTTACGCCTACATATTATTATGGTGGTCTTAAATTTAAATAGGCAACCGTGTATTTGAATCTTTGATACCTTCTTGCAAGGTATAGAACATGAAATGGTAATTGTAGAAGTTGTGCAAGGTTTATGACAGTTGTGGCATAGTTTATTCTGTCGTTATTATTAGTATCAGTCTTGAACGCACTTCATATTAATTTAAACACGCCTATGGTTCTACATGCTCGATCAAAGTTCCAGAACAAACAACCTCGACTAGAAGAACCAGTCGTTTGGTGCATTATTGATCGGACCGAATGAGTTTGCTTCCCCCAAGGAAATATATTCTTACTGAATCCATAACAGTGAAAAATATTGCCAGTTAAGAAGGAATGAACGCGTCGAAAGGGCAAGATTCTCGTTGGTTCCACCGGGGACTGGTCGAGAGTAAGTAAAATAAACAACGTACCCAGAACCGTGGTGCACTATAACAGCAGCCAAGTCGTACAGGTGGCTGTTCGAAGCGCCCAGCTTTGTTCCACTCATGCCACGTACCGTAAATGCCGACATGTCGAGCGATTTCATGGGGAAATCCACTTGCGTGTCCACCTTGGAGCGATAAGAATTGCACCACCTAAATCTTTTAATGTGAAGGCACAACACCTAGAACAAGTACATAATAGTATCGCGTGCACGGGAAAGTAGTTTCGTTACATTATCCGGGATGAACTACTAACATTAGGCAGCCTGTGTATCCAGAACCTCTTGGTGGACCTTTGCTTCCCCATACAATTGTCGCAAAAGTACAGTTCGCTGTCGGCCAGTTCTTCGTCTTTGAAGAATCTGGATAGACTGTAGGTGAGACTGCATACCTCCTCCCGTTCTTTCGTTCGTCTTTGCAGCCGGTCCGGTATGTCCAGCGATAGATCCTGGAAGGGCTCGTGCGTCTTGGAATCTGTACGGCAGTTCATGCAATGGACCTGCGCGAGGAAACGCGATCCATAATTCGTCCGCGCTTCTCCCAAGAAGAAAATGAATAAAATGACTTTCCAAAAAAGAACGTTCATTTGAGAAATAGACACTCCCACCCGGTCGTTTCGTAATTGGAATAATAAAAATGCAACCGGCAATACGAGGTACGAAACATTCGAGAATCTCTCTCCGAGGAACGATGACGGCGGGACTTACCACGCTAAGGAGGGTGCCCCCGAACACGGCCGTGACGATGCTCTGCTTGCCCCGCAAACCGAGGGGCTCGTGTCCCAATCTGGGAAGCAATTGCAACAGCTCGGTGTGCAGTCTGTCGAGCATGTAGGTGAGAAACTCGTGCGCGTCCTGCTGTTGGTAGCCACGAAATCTGGGCACGACCTTCCAGATGACCAGGAAAAGACACTCGGGCGAGATCGCCTGCCCGTTCGAGCCGCCCAGGTTCAATCCCAGAAGCACCTTCCTCAGCTCCTCGGCGAGCAGGGCGTCGCTCATGCTCAGCTCTTTCGCGCGTCCGGGCGCGACGATGCGTCCCCTGTGCGTGGGCGATTCGTCGAAAGGTATGCCCTCGAGGCACGGCATCTGCGTTAGGTACTCGCAAAAGTGGCTGATGTTGTTGAACGATTGCAACACCACGTTCATGAAACAGGTGTTACCGAGATTTCTTAGGCCGACGACCTTCTTCTCTTTGGTTATCTTTGAGCTCCTACGCTTGGTCGCCGGCCGATTGTCCCCACTCGTGCCGTCCAGCGAATGTAGCCTCTTCCGTGCCGTTCTCGGTCGAAGGTTCCTCACGACCACTTCCGCTTTCCACAGGGCATCCGCGTCGTTGTCGTTGTCGCTGTTCTCTCTCCTCGAGGACGGCGTCGTAGACGGTGACGTGTTCCAATTCTCCTCGTTCTCTTTGTGTTCATCCTTGCGGAAGATGACTCGACGTATCTTCTCGATTTGACCGTTCGTCGTGTCGTTAACGACATACTCGTCGCATATGTAACTGAAAACACACATTTTTTCGTACGATCATTTTGTTCCGGGCTTACCGAACGCGGGTTTATCATAGTCCTCGAGCGTTTAATTGCAGCAGGGACTCGGGACGCCATCGTGCAATTATTCTGTTCATCGTTTGGAATTCTAGAGGAAACGACGCTTTCAAGTATGAGTGTCGTGTGTGCGAATTTTCGAATCTGTGTTTTGAACAACACGTAAATCGAAGATTATTTAATTACAAACATACTATGTTATACACTTGATTATTCTCAGCCGACAGAGACACGATATTTTCATAAAAACATAATGCAGTGTGAAGTATTTTATCGTGGCAACGAGTATTTATCATTGTTTGATACCGATAATAATTCTGAGCCGCATTCGTATAAAGAATGTAAACAGCCAAAGTTGACTCGAGCATTAAAGAAATAATGCTCGAATACCAAGGAGAAAACAATTTACTGATTTTCGTAAATTTTATTAAAACAATCTATAAAATATGTTTTCTGCTTAAGAATGTGTACTCGTTCGAAACCTTGTTTTTTAGACGAGGTTTAGTTTTCGAGGAAGTCGCGTTTGCATATTTGCCTAGTACGCGAGCACTTGATTATGTCTCGACTTAACGAACCTCTTTGTAGATTACTATCTCGGCTTAGGTTTACGTTTATTGTACCGAATAAACAAGGATACGCAGGCAAACGGAACATTCACGCTCGATAAGTTTTATTGTGTAAGAAATGGTTGAAAATGTCCGCCATTCTGTCCGAATACACAATTCCAGCTGTTTTAATTCATCGAACGCTAAATTAATTTCTCTTTCGATCGCTCGACCTTAGTAGCTTCTTCGAAATAGATAATTCATGTAACGTGACTCGGTAAATAAACGTTAAGTAAGGAGATCGCGATGGCCGAAGCGACGAGGAAAGTAAGACAGCACGATACGAAACAATTCGTGACACCGGTAATGTTTATAAATACAAATCTTGAGCCGAGACGGTAATTTACAGCGAGATTCGTTAAATCGAGGCATAATCTCAACATGCGTAACCGACGAATGTTTAAAGTCGAATTTCTTGAAAACGGAGAATACAAGAGACTGTTTGGCTGTGCATAATCGTTATGTAAGAGACGGGTTAAAAATGACCCATGTGTTTTGACTCCATGGTGCAAAATCAATCACCAAACCATAATAGAACAGTGTCACTGACGTGTCACTCGGGGGTGGATTTAGAAGACCACCCGCTCCTCACAGTGTTACGAAATCTTAAAGAAATATATTTATTAGTCACCTTACATAACATTCTATGTTTTCGAGTATACACTTGCATAAATGACTAAAATATTAATAGATAGATTACAAATCGTGCAGAAGAGGGTTGAAAAATATTTACAAATATCACCCTCCACCTCCTGGATCCACCCGTGGTGGGTGGAAATATTCCACAACAGGGTACCAATAGCTAGGAATAAATCGAGTGAAAGACAAGTTTACGAAGTTAAAGATTGAGTCGCAAGTGGATTTTGCAAAGATGGTCGAAAGAAAGAAATATGCAAAGTTAATAATTAGCAGAAACGAAAGACTCACCAGAATACTGCCAGGTTCTCACAGTCGATGCAAACGCAATGTTGAGTATTTTGTTCGTGATGCTGTAACGCATGGCCAGACACATATCGTCCACAGTGAACGTCCCCACAGTAGAGACAGAGCCACGTACTTTTCTCGGTGCCACACACTATTAACAACAACAAAATTTATTCGTGTCGTCTCTAAACATGGTCCAATACATATACACAGTCTACAATAATAATAAATATTTTATACCAAAGATTGCTCTAAAAACGGTGACGCTTAATGGGAAGACCTCCTTACCTTTCGATAGTATTAGAAACAATACTGATTATTTGTATACATCGTAACTGCAAAAGTGGGAATATTTAAGTTAATATCGTTGCATTCGCCGGATTGTTTGAAAAATTGTGGAATACGTTTATACATAGTGGCATCGTTTTAATAAATATCCGTCCGCGATGTACAGTTTGGAATATTCGATAAACAAACGCGGCACGAAAGACGTTCGATCGTTACGAAATAAAGCGAGTTCCGAAGCGGTGCACCATCATTTTGGCTCGTCTCGGCTTACGTAATTCTCAAGAGAGCGCGTAAAACCAGGGTGAATGGATGGAAGGCTGTTCGACACACCCCCTTCGCAGTCGATCAATCGCAAAATGTCTCGCGCTTCCATCGGGTTCGAGATTTTGCATGCTCGATTTTTTCCACTACACGCGTTTTTCAGACAGTTCGAAGCTAAAAAAAAGTCTTGGTTGGGTAAACTGATCTCATTCCCGGGGGCACGTTTCAATCAAGATGGAGGAAGTCGGTGAAAATGGATCTCGCAAAAATGTCTCGTACTCTGTACAATATGGATGTTCCTAATGATTTCCAAATGTTCATATCTTGCGTTGCGCGATGTAAAACTATTTTTAGTTGGCGAAATAAACGGTGCACGGAGCGGTAGAAAAAGACGCGAAGGTTCTAGCGAAAAAGGTACGACTACATGAAAATTGAGACGTCGGTTGCCCGCACGAAAAGTGCGAACTGTAACCCGATCCTCTGGAAGGTCGCTTCGAGGTGTACACGCGTTTGTTTCACAATCGAGCGCAAGAAATGGTTCGGTTTTAAATTCTTTCGAAAGCACTTCGATCTAATAGTATCGTGGAAATCTGAACGTACTGCACACGTCGATAAAGTATGTCGATAAGATTAATAGTCCTCGAGCTGTGCGAGAATACGCAGAAAATTCTATGCTATTTTGAATTGTTACATATTAGACAAAATGCACGAGTTCTCTCAAAAATAAAAAAGGTGTTATTCACTATCGAACCGAAGGAATATTTCTTTACCCTGGAAGAAAAAAAGTGTTTAAAACTTGAACTGTATAACAATTGATTAGAGAATAGATAAGAATGAAAACGTTTGCACTGTATCGATGCAGTAATTTAGAATTTAACTTCCGCGCGAGACGTCTGGCTGTATTTTTGGAAGATCGAAACGGTGCAGCGTACGTTTTTACAGTCGCACGCAGCAATCGTTAATGTACAGCATTTAGATGAGATTCGAATTTCAAATCGTCGTATCGAGATTCCGTCGTCGTGAAAGGCGAAGAAAAAAACGAATGTCAAAGGATAACTGACAACAGTGAAACAAGAACGCGTCTCTCCTTCGCTCCTTTGGCTCCGTCGGGTCATCTTTCCATCTCTTTCCGGCCTGGTAACGAACGATTCGATTCGCCACGCCTACTGCACTTTTGCGTCGTCGGAAGAATTTCGCGATGCATTGTCCGCGCAACGAGATAGATATAGGGGAACCCGACGACACCCAGAACCCGGTCCACGGTTCGTGAAAAAGGAACGGATGTAAAAAATTCGTTGAAGCGATGTCACTCGTATCGAGGCATCCGATTAGCAACGACGCCGTTATCGATTTTGCAACGTCGTACCCGAACCAGCTTGCAGAGCGCAGGAAAAGTTGTAGAGGGAGAGGGGAAGGTGTGGAACATGGGGTTCTTTTATAGCCCACGAGGGACGATTTTTCTCCTGCGAGCGGCTTGGTAATTCTTACCAGCGTCGCAACTCGCTAGACCACGGGGATATTTAAATTGATCTTGCGACTTGGATACGTTGCGATTCGTCGAGCGTGAACGATCTCTCGAGAGTAACGGCCACGGACGACGAGCAACGACGGGGAATTGTTTGGAGCGTATTTCGCCCGTGGACCGTCCGACGAGAAGTCCGGAAATCGCACATAACGCGTCGCGAGTTGGGCAATCAAACGTTCGCAAAAATCATCCGTCTGACTTATTGCTGCTAGAGTACGCTTCTGAAATGCTCTACGACTCTCTCCTTGACTATTTGTCTCGTTCCTCTGTTCCCCCACTCCAGACACTTTCCTCTTTCTCTCTCTTTCTCTCTCTCTCTCTCTCTCCTCGCGAGCGTGTCGTTGGATAAGATGGACATGTACGCCTCTGTTCCGAACGTTAAAAATCAAAGGGAGAATTCGTTTGGCGTCGAACGACTCGTAAAATGCTTCTTCTTTCGGGGGTTCGACCGTAAGAGGTCGCTGCAGCCCGACATCGATTACCAAACGCAATCGAATCTCGATTAAAAAATTAATAATCGATGAGTTCGCGAATATTTGTACCCGGAGGCCTGGGGCAAGGAAAGGAAGGACTTCGAGGGGAGCAATAAAGGTATTGCGCATATTTCGGATAAATATAGTACTAGAGGTTCTGCAAAGAAAAAGGATGAAAGCTGTCTACGAAGGAGGAGAAAGCACAGATCGGAAATAAGGGAAGAACCGTGGCGTACGAGGCTGACATTTTTCCAACGATTTTTCAAATGCTCGTCGAGGAAACGCGGAGGCAAGTCGTCGAGCGGAAACAGGGGAGGAGGAGAAAAAAATGGAGAAGTAAAAACGGGGAACGTCCAGGAACGACGAACACGTTTATCTGGCGAGTTCTAATGACAGATCTCAGGCCAGCTGATTAGTGCCGTCTGGTATTGATTTTCCAATGACGGCCGCGCCGCATACTGAGAACTCCCAGCAGGACGATGCACAGCGCACGTCCACGGCGCTCTCGTCGGTCCGTAGAGAACACCCATGAACGGAAACACATACACCAACTATTGCACGTATACGTATGCGTCAAGGAGTGGACTTTCACGTACGGCCGCACCCGCGCGTGCAACTTGCTCATATTCGCGCACACGAACGCACAGACACACTCGCGCCTATATCGCGAAGAGACACGTATATAATCGCACGATGACTTCGATCCGCGATACATACGAACGACACGTAGAGTCGTGCGTCCAACCGAGCACATATCATCCATACCGTGTATCAACTGTGAAAACAAAACCGTACACATCGTATCTTTTTCAAATATGCGTTACTTTCTAGAGGGAAATAGAAATGGTTCGCCTCGTCTTGTCGGCTACGACGACGGCTCAAGGCCGCGAGAGGAACGGCCGGGGCCTCGGTCACGAGAGGTAAAGAGAGAAAAAGCAATGCGAGGAACGGAGAAAGAGAACGGATAAAGAACGCAAAAGAAAAGAGAGTAAAGAAAATGGGAGACAATAGAGCGAAGGAAAGATCGAGATCGAGCCCAGCGAGAACGATGCACGAAATAGAACCGAACCTGCGAAGAAAGGATCGGTCGAGGAACAGAGAGACAGAGACCCAGGTTCAGCCTCGGACACAAGCTCCTCCTTGAAACTGCTGTAAGAATAAAGGTCTGGGTTTTTGTGGGCTCCTACCTGCACAGACGAACGGTAGATCCTTTGTACAGCTTGCTTCTACGTCGTTACCACCGAATTGGACGCTTTGAGCAAGATGTGGACACTCCATGTTTTCCTAGGCACGATTCCACGGGGCCCTCGTGGCCCCTTCTTCGGCGAGTGCCTGCGTATGTACGTGCCTGCGTTTACAACGTGTTCTTTCTCTCTCTCTCTTTGGGCAAAGGAGAGTAGTAGCAGGCAGCAGGATGGGGTGGGAATGATATACAGAAGTCGGGGTACGCTCGGTGCCCCGTAATATCCGTCACATAGCGCGAAAAGGGTACGATTCGTTGTTCTTAACGAAAAAGAAAGGATGCAACTGATCTCGATGCGCAACGACGACGGACTGAGGAAAACGAGCAGACCGAAAAGAGCAGTGGAGCGCCCGACTGGCCCCGACTACCGACCGAACGCAACCGAGCTGCGTCGGGCTCGGTTCTGCGGTGGTCGGGCTACCTCCAGAGTCACAGACCACTAATAGTCGACTGACTCGCCGGTTCTACAGTCTCTCCTCCCTGCTCCCGAGAGTTCCAACATTCGCAGGCAGGCGTGCGATTACAACTACTCTCTTCGTTTCTCTCACTCTTTCTTCCGAACTTCGCTCCGTCGGCCAGGTTGTGCTAGGCCACCTAGCCTTGGATCGTGCTAGGTCGCGCAGCCTCTGAACAAGTCAGCCAGGTCCGACTTCATCGTGTGGGCGCCTAAGGGAGATGCGTTTCACCATAATCCGGACGCGGAACGAGCTCTTGCGAAATATTTAACGTAGCAAACTCCAGTCGACAAGCCCTCATCTCGATAGTTGCAAAAATATCCACGAGAAATTCGATATCAGAATTAATACCGCGATACTTGGATGTTTCGAATCTTCGGAAAGAAAACGGAAAGGAGTGTGGAAATTTATTCTACATAAAAATGGCAGACATTTTTAATTAAAACCTTCCAAGATTATATCGACTTTTAATTCCATTATTTCTAACGAATCGACGAAGTCAGTACCGCGATAAAGGGTACCATATATTAATTAATGCTACGGGACTAAATGATATTGTAAAAATCTAATGACGTTTGCATCTGCAATCCATTTAACAATGAGAAGCAGTATAGAACGCATGTAAACTTTTTCCCGTGCTTCGATTAAAATGGCCGACTTTCACGCATGCGCACATTGACGTCTTCTTTTATATACCGCAAGAGTTTTCCGATATTATACTTTACGATGTAATTTCACATCGTACTAAAACTTCCGATGTTGTGGCAACTTTTTAAGTAACGTACTTGTCTGTAATTGCATTTCGGAAAATAATTACTCTGGTGCTAGTAACAAACGAATAAACAAATTATACGATCATATGAAAATTAACGTGGTAGAAATAATCTATAAAAAGAACATGAAATGTTTAGAAAGTCAGCTTGCAGTTTTATTAAAAAATGCAATGCCAACAGTCTTATTTAATACAAATATTTTAAGAACGTCTGCTATATGGCTGTAGTTGAGATTGAGTTAGTTGAAGACCAGGGATATTATTGAATCCAAGCATCTGTAACATTTCCTTAGTTTCTGGGTCAACTTCGATGATATCGTGTTCTAGAGCAGAGACTTCAGGAACATAGTTGTCTCTGCGTTCACGCTCCTCTTCTTGCAGTTTGATGGAAATGCCACGAACCTGACTGTGTCTAAGACGCTTCATCAAGTGTGTAACAAATCTGTTGAACAAATATTGAAGCAAACAAAATCAGATGTTATCTTAATTTCAACATTTTCTCACCAGTAATACTATGTTGTTATTTTCACGATAATCATATATTTTTGAAAAGTATATTACCCAGCGATTTTGTTTCGCAGAGATTTACTTGGAATAATAGCAATTTCTTCACATATCCTTTTATTCGTGTGGAAATCCATGGTTAATCGAGTGTAATATTTCTCGATTATAAGCTTCGCAGCCTTCTTGATCGTCTTAGTCCTAACGCGACTCTGGAATCATAAATAATAGGATTTCATACTTACGTGTCTTTTACATTAAACTAGATTTTCAATTCCTCGGTCGCGTGTACAAAAAATGATCCAAAAACACTAGCAACACTCGCACATAACCTTAATTTTTGAAAGTAAATAGCCAACTATTATAACACGTTCCAGGAGTTAATGTTTTAACTATTGCGTTTAATACATTTGTTAATATTTTTCTATACGATTCGTTTTTATGTGTAACGATGGATCGCAACGATATTTCCCGATTATTGTTAGAATATTTCAAATTGTACGCACCATGATGGTAAGTGTGGCGGAAAAGACATAAACCAAAATGGAAGAGAGACACTACCGCCACATGGAACCATCAACAAGAGCGGCCATATAGAAAATGATATTACTGGTTTCGTCGAATTGCGACGCCAGAGACATCTGTAGATTCCATTCCCAGAAGTATCATTTATATACTGGTGGTAATTGCAAAAGAATAAAAAGTAAGGCGTAAGATTGTTTAATAATGTTTAAATTCACGCGATAAAGAATAATTTCTTACCAGTTGACACTAAAAATAATCTAATCGTGTTATAAAATATCTGTTTATCTAGATAATACAGAACATAATCAGACGTTGGTATACCCGTTCAGACCTAACCGCAAATAATATTTCTTTTGGAAATCATCAAATATCGGCAGATTTAGGTAACAATAGTAATTCCTAACTTGAAAAAATGTATAATATAGTTATTTGTAAATGATGTTATGCGATGATTGATTACAGAAGGTGGCACCAGCGACATTGGTACGATACGCAAAGCAGTATGGAACGTCAGTGACTCAAAACATGTCGCGCTTTGCTCCGCGACGCGACGGAGCACGCTTAAACAGGTTTCCATTTTATGTTCCGCGAGTGACATTCGGTTTCTTTGAAAGTGCGAGCGCTTTCGATCACCAGCCATCGTTCAATTCCGACGGAGCATCCGTAAAATGTCAGAAAATCGGGAACGCTAGGTGACAGGGTGCAAGTGGTCCGCGACGCAGTAGTGGGGGGAAATGTGTGGTGGCAGCACTGTGCCGTGAATAGGAAAAGGGAGGAGCGAGAGAGAGAAGGACCTGGAGTGACAAGGTTAGGGCGATGAGAGCGAGATCGTGTTATATTGCGAACCCCTCGGCGCGAGAGAGACCGAGATTTCGTTCAACCGCACACGGTAGCGGTGTTTGGCCGTTCGAGAAAGACGGGAAACGCGATGAAGAAGGAGAACGGATAGCGAGAAGGAGGGCAGACTCGCGAGGGAGAAGCGACGAGTTTGTTTATCGCCTTGGTGAACGGCGAGAGCAGTCAGTGCGGTGCTACACTTGGTCTGTAGTGGTTGGGACGATCGGTGGTAGCTCGGCTCGTAACTTCGGTCTCTTTTGACAATTTACTTCGGAATAGTTGTGCGCGGGTGCCCCGTCGTGTGTTCTCCGTCGCGCACATGTCAGCGTCGGTTTAACCTTTTGAAGACCTCGTGCCCGGGAAGAACATGCCGCTAACCGCTGCCAAAACATAGTCGTTCTGTGTGCATCGTGTGCCAAAGTCTGTGACAACCGTGTCGTAGATCGCTGGAATTTCACCGACCAACTGGAAATCCCCCCCATCCCGGCCGTGATACTTAACAGGTAAGAGCGATTTATTATTTATCGCGACGAAACAAAGTGGTTACGTGGTTACTAGCGAACAACCTGTCACTTTTACGTCGTCGCGCCCCGATATCGGTACGTGTCTTTGTTTCTGTCAGCTGACATCCCGTCCTCGTGCTCCATGGCGACTTTCTCCTCTCGTGAAACTCTTAACTCGCGCGTTAGGTGCATTCTCGGTGAATCTGGAACCTTTAACACGAGCCTTTAAACCGTTTAAACGGAAACGCTCGTCGGGACACTTCTGCGTGACGACTGGAGGGGTCGTTGATCCCCATTCTTTCACTTTCATCGAAAATACACGCCGATCGCGATTCGCGTGCGAATAGTACACCAGGAGTGCGTTGCTTCGTCGCCGTTGTAATAAAAAAGCTGTGAAAGCAGCGACTGACGTTAGCGTATAATTTGAGCCAGTCGCGAGCGGCGATGTACAGCGAGTGTGAAAAGTCTTTCACACTATACTAATGCCGATACTAGTTTCAAACTCTCTCCGATTCTGTTTGTCGTTTAATTCACGGTAACGCGAATAATCTGTTTTCTAACGTTGACTCCTCAACACCCACCGTGACATATATGGATAGGGTCAATTTCACAGTTTGTTCGCTCTAGCCAACGAAACAATGATATATTAATGCATATACATTGCTTTCTTAACACTATTTATTGTTTATAGGTAGACTAAATAAACAACATCATCTCCTATTCGTTTTTTCAGTATTTAACCAACGGTCAGTAGTTGTCCTTAATAAATTCTTTTTCATAATTTTCTTATTGTTGTCTGTACATTAAGGGGTCGAAGAAAACTGTAAAAACTCTTTGTTCCGTATTTGTGTCTGTAACTTTGCCTTTTCAGAGTTGAATTTTGTCGATTCATTCCGTGAACCTCGCCCTTTCACTCTGATTGGAATCCTTATACTTTACTTTTCCGTTTTTATTTGATAAACAAAATAAAAAGTACGTGTAAATTTACGTCATATCTTTGACATAGACGCTTAGAAAGTCGTTGTTATTTACGTTCGTAGGGAGTTTTAAGATTCTTAAAAAACCCAGTTGAGGTTGGGTTAAACACGTGCTTAACGAGACTTCTTAAGAGGGTGTTCTCATTCGGCCGTTGTTTTCAGATCGATATTCGGTGTAAAGTATTTCGTATAATTATGGATCAATAGTAGTGAAACTTTTGCATATGCATTTGGTCATGTTCCCAGATAACACGAGATCCTAACACTTTTATACTTTATAAGGCAGTTAACGTTTTATTAATTCCTGAAATCGTAGCTTATTGGTAACTTCTCTTATTGCACAAAGTTAAAATGATACTCCTCTATTTTTCGATTATTTCTAATGACTCACGGAAATGGGGAAATTATAATTTTAGTATCACTAGACCCGACAACATCTGCTGTTACGAGCTACGCTTACAATTATAGTGATCTTCCTAACGTCTCTTCCTGGGCGTTATGTGTAACTGCCTCCAGTTTCCTCAGTTTGGTTCGAAACATTATCGTGTGCCTAATTCTGTTGCTTTATACAATTCTGTATGTTTCTATAAACGTTGGAAGTTTAATTTTCAATTTATACAGAGATATAATAAAATTCCATATCGCAGAATGTGAACGACATAATTTGATTTCATTTAGCTCGAATTTTATGTTCCTTGTTATCGTAGAAATGAAACGTTTGCAATGATTTTCTTTCATTACTGTTCTTGTCGATACTTATGTTCGTTATTGTATGTGCGTGGCGTGTGCACGGTATCATCAAAGAAACGTCGCGTTGCCGTTTTAATCATGTGGGCTTGAAAAACCTTTTAGCCACAATTAACGCTCTTCGCCGCCTCGAAACTAATTACGGTATCGCGTTATGTTCACGGAACACATTGCTACAGCGTTTCGTGACGATTCCCGCCATTTTTCCCCCTTGTTTCGTTCGCGTGTAATGTTGTCTTTCCACGAACGCGACACGCGATACATAGGATATAATTTTTCTCGAGAATAAGTAACTCTTTCATTCGTGGCGACTGTCTTATGATCGAAATTGTTGCGTCATATCGGAAAATACGTCTTATACCGATCAGAAAACGATGCACACTGGTTGATTATTGCAAAAGTTTAATAAGATTTATATAGGGTGTTCGACCCATGGGAAAAATTTTAATGGGAGATTTTAGAGACCAAAATAAGACGAAAGTCAAGATTATCAATTTCTTGACTGAGGCTTCGTTAGTAAGTTAAGAAGTTATTAAGAAATTAAATTAAAAAATTTCAAATCGTTCTAAAAAAATTATTTTCGGTTGCGGGGGTCAATTACAATCATTTTTGGCGAATATACATACCCCCGAAATCCTACCCACTCTCTAGAAAAAAATTCGAGAAAGTGTGAAATTTTTCGACGGGAAAAAAAATTTCAAATCGTTTTGGAAAAATTATTTTTGGTTGCGGGGGTCAATTACAATCATTTTTGGTGAATAGACATACCCCCGAATTCCTACCTACTTTCGAGAAAAAAATTCAGTACGAGTGGAACTTTAAATGTTAATAACTTTTTAACGAAGCCTCCATCAACAAATTGGTATTCTTGATTTTCGTCCTAGTTTGACCTCTAGAACACCCTGCATAATCAACGGAGTAAACGTGTTAGTCGACGTGTAAAGAATTTTGTTCATTTCGTTTGAGAAATGGGAATTTTCTGTTATTTCTGCTCTATTTTATTTTGGAGGACAAGACGCGACAAGGAAGGAGAAGGGGAGACAAAGTCAGAATTTAGTATAGTGTAAGTTAGAGCTAAGTCTTCGAAAAAGAATTACAGTTTCGAACTTGCGTAGATTTCATCCAATTTGATGATCGTTTCGCTGAATGGACGCTGAAAATGGGAATTTATTCTAAAATGCCACATGTGTAGAACGGTTCGAAAAAAACGCGTTTAACAACAGTTTTCAGTATTAATAGTCAGGCGAGAAACAGTATCGACTCTTTTGATTGAAGCGCCACGCGATTGGTGAAAAGCAATATTGTCAGCGTTGATTCAAGATGCAACATCTGTGATTTGTGACGGATAAAACAATTTCTATCGATACAGGTTTTCTAAAATGGGCGCTGAAAATTGGAAGTTTGTGGGGAAAAACTGGAACGAGTCTAATTTGTTGCAAAATACGTTTTCTATCTTTCCTGTATTGGTAATCAGGAAATACTCTTCTGTATCCTACGTAAATGCAGTCCAAGGAAAAGATAACAAATTTCATATCTCGGTTACGTCATTCGTTCGACTGGAATTTCCTTATATCGTTTATAATAAGATTTATTATACAAATCGCTCTTAGACACAATTTTATATGGAGTCGAACAAAATGTAACTCTGTCTGTTTTTAACGTTGAAAAATTCTTGTTTGTTATTCGTAGCTGTAGGGGAGGCGCCAACTATAAATCTACGATATCTCTGTTACCGTTGCGTTTACCACAGAAACGTGTAAAATGAAAGTTATTGCAAATTGAATTTGGAAACATTTTTGTTGTATACAAATTTTCTGTGGAATTGATAGTAATCGAGATATCGAATCCGCGCAACGAATCTGCTCCGAAAAGGAAAACGAGCAACTTCGTAGGCACGACAATCTGGTAAAATTTTATTTATTTACGCAGAAAACTTTGCAAAAGTATTCAAAAATTAGCGAAGCGTAGGATTTTATAATTCGTCGAAGATTTTTAGCGTATGAATGGCAATATTGAATTTTAATGTTTGAATCCAGAAAGAATCATTTCACAAACGATGAATTTACACTGTCTCAGTTTTGATACATGATCGAGAGATCCCTGAATAATAATCACGGTTAATAGAAGTCCTAACGTGGTGTTATATTTACTATATTAAATATTCTTTCGTCTCTGGACTTCCCAAATTGAAACAAATATAGTTTCTCAATGTACTATTTAAAATAAGCGAAAAGTTTCATTTAATTCTATTCTGTAAAGCCTACAAAATGTACCATTGTTATACTACACAAATTAAATAGATATTTAGAAAATTTCCAAGTTTTTTTTAAACGTTACATAAAGATATTTGTTACTCATATATGTTACTTAACAGTCTTTATGTAAAAGTAACTATTAACGCAGTCACGCCGATGAACGTTTCGTTCTTTGTAATGCAAATTGTTAAGCCATTTAGTCGCGCAAAGAGTCAACTATTATTCAAGATTAGGCGTTCTTTGAAAACATCGAGCAGTCTTGAAAGGCTCAGTAAAATTTAAGGGAATTAATCGTCGCAGAAGAAGAATAATTTAGTTTTATAATACGTTGATCTCTACTTTTTGTTAAAATAAATCGATGCACCTTTAGTTTAAATTTCTAGTTTAAGTATTTCAACATTTTTCTTCGTCAAACAATTTCAATCTCCCTCGAGTACATTTCAAAGTTTCGTACCGTCAATTCGTTAATTAAAAACAGAGTGTTTCAAGAATTATTTAGGATTACTTTCGTTCCGTGGAAAATATTAAATTCCACCGTCGGTTTATTAATTTAAAATTTACATGCTATAGGTTAATAACAGCGTAACTGGTACACCGAGTTGTCAGAATGAATGGAAATGTTAGCACAGCTGTTCCTAGCGGTTAGGGTTAAGTAAGTGAAATCATTGCAACACAAAGACGTAAGAAACACTTGATTATTCGTCCATTTTTATTGTAGAAACTAGGTTAAACGACGCTATTCTGAAAATTACTAGGAAGAAGATGGTCGACAATGTTAATCGTTCGGTACGATTACTCTGTTTTCAATGTTAAATGAACCCAAAGAGGAAAACACAAGATGATGAAAATTGTTATTTAAAATAGACGAATTTTTTCACTTGAAAATAGTCAATAATCCGCAATGTTTACAACGAATAGAGCAAGGGTTGAAACATCGAAGAAACCGACCTAGTTGTTCGCTCATTATTCGCGTACGTAAACGAGGCGTATAGATCGTTATTCGTGGGTCGCGTATTCATTA